GCTTGTAACGTATTTTCGAACGGACGCCCGTAACATGACGTCATTTACGGTTTATGACGTCATAAGTAATGACGTCAAAGCTGTGTACATAGTACGATTCAATATGAAATAATCTGTTTTCACAGCATTTCAAGTTTCATTTTAAACGGACCAGTAGTTTTGACGCTATTGAATTAGTTTAAGAATTTTTTGTTGCACCCTCGTATCAAGACCAATAACAACTTCTAACAAAATCAAAGCACAGAAGGCGCTGAATTTGTTTGGGTCTCAGAATGTAAGAAAGGTACAGGTTGTGAGATTATATGTATAGTGCCACCAATGCTTTCCAGCGTTTTAACTGTAGTAAATTGGCTATAAGACTAATTGCAACACTGATATTCAATCCAATGTTTATTTGACTTAAACAATTTGAAAAAAAAATGAGTTGCCTTTACTGGGATTTGAACTCCAGACCTCTCGCTTCCTAAGCGAGCGCGAAAACCCTTCAGCCACGGTGAATTTATATGTGAACGGCCTGAAGAAAACCATATTATTCTAAATTAGGGCTTGTAACGACTTTAACTGTTGTTTAACACAGATGTAAATAATCCTGGAGCTTACTATAAGCATGTATATTTATAAAGAATCAAAGGGCTGCAAGTTCTGTGGAATTTTCTGATCTTTGCAATCTAAATCGTACTGTATATCTGTATGTATTTTCCTGTATAAGTTTATTTTTATGTATTATAATTCATTTTGCAAGGCACCAGAGTTTGATACATACGGAATTCTGCATAACTAGAGTTGCATCAAAAAATCATTTATGTTCATTTTTTACGACAGCCACACTTTATCCTTGCATATCATGGCTACTTCCTTAACAAAGACACTTAAAAAAGAATTAAAAAAAAAAAGTTTCCTCGATTGGGATTTGAACTCCAGACCTCTCACTCAATGAGCGAGCGCGTTACCCCTGTACCACGGAGAAGTTATACAAACACTGCCTGTATAACATCAAGTCATTCTAAATTTAGAACTTCCATTGCATTTCGGGTTTGTAATCCTTATTAATTTCGAGGTATTTTGTTCAGGATAAACCTGTTGTATAAAACTGAAGTAAATAATTTAGCGAAAATCTTTTCGCCCAAACAGTGCGACATGTAGAATCTATATATTCCACTACTCGGTTTGTGTAGTATTCGGTAAACGACATCGCTAAAAATAGTATTTTCATTGATAAAATCATATTCATCCGCGTAATTTGTAATTGTGCATTTATTGACAATTCTATAAGCCAACGCTATTTTTAAACTTTGAATGCGTTGTAATTTGTTGGATACTTGTAACAAAATAAAAATATTTCTTTCCTTTAAATCGCTAGTTTTAAGCTGTTTTAAGAACTACTTGTTGTTAGGTTTGTCGTAAACTTCTATGTCAGAGATTGAATGTCCGCTTTGTATTTACTTATTTTCGATCAGAAAATACAATAAAACAATATTAGAAATCTTCGACCATTCGTGAATTATTTTGCTTGAAAATTAATGCGCCTGTCTTTGACCATCATTACACAGTGATCTCCCCTGAATTTTTCGGCGTTAGTGTACATATAAAGGGAAGTAACCGCTTCAAAAAAGTGGACTACTTTCGGCATTTGCAATTAGCAGCATTAGACTCTGAAATTTCGCTACCATTATTTGTTTGGTCTGACGACCCAAACAAATAAAAATAACAAAAACAAAAACACATGTGACCTTGTTTTACTATATAAAAGGCGGCTATTAAAGTTTTTGAAGGAGCAAATTCCGTGTTACTCTGTCTCACATGGATTTTTTGTTGACTTTCTGGGAAGAAAACAAGAACAATTCCGTCTGGAATTTTAGTTCGTGCATAATTTAATGATTTTAAACATTTCACCTTGGATAGAATTTTCAACTTAGAAATTTTTTTGAGCGGAATGGCCTTAACTGTCAGCGGAATTCTGTACTTAACATTTTTTCGTGCACAGAATTCCACATACAAGGCAGCACCCAAGGCATAATTTAATTCTTGATTTTATTTAAATATTTTATCTGTTTTTGAAATATTTAAGTTTTATATAAGCCTACTTCTTACAGACCTAATTTTGCCGAAATATGATATTTGACCAAGAAATACAGATGATTTTAATTATTTACAAGATAGAAAATACTAATTGAGCAGATCTTTTTTTATTGAAAAAAAAGTCTAAGTTCAAAGCTAAAAGTGTAATAATTTAATGTGTAAAATATCAAAATATTCCGGTCTAAAACACGTTTTAGTTACATGTATGTATCAATTTTCATATAGTTTGTATAAGCTATAATTCCAATATGATTTTAGGACATTATAATATTTCAAAGCAAAATTGAAATAAGAATGCTGTTTAAAATTTAATCAGAGATTTGATAAATCTCACCGTATTTCCCACTATCTACGCTTGTAACTATGCTGGAATAATTTACTCATTAATCAATTCTACAGATCAGACTGCTCCGTGTGATAGAGAGATGGAGAGAGATGCCATTATAAATATCAGTTGCGGAGTTTGTCTTTTTTTCAAACATATGTAATGATTTTCTGTGCCCCCACTTTAAGGAGTGGAATTTGGATTTACCCTTATCCGTCCGTCCGGTCATTCGTCCTTCCGTCCGTCCGTTCTCATTTTGTGTCGCACGTAACTCAAAAAGAATTTGGCTTAGAGTCATGAAACTTCACAGGAATGTTGATCAGCATGTGTAGTTGTGCATCGGTTGTTTTGCTTATGATTTTGTTTGTTTGTCAGAATTATTGTCCTTCACTTAGTAAATATTTACAATTATCAACTTATGTCGCACATAGCTAAAAAATTATCTTACCTAGTGTAATGAAACTTTACAGGAATGTTGCATAACATGTGTAGTTGTGCACCTAGGTACCTTCGTATGGATTTATGTAGTATTTGTAGAGTTATTGCCCTTCACGTATTGAATATTTACAGTTTTCAACTTGTGTCGCACGTAACTCAAAAAGTATTTGACCTAGACATGAAACTTCAAAGGAATGTTGCTCAGCATGTGCTAATGAATGTGCGTCTGAGGTTTTGCTTGTGGATTTATTGCCCTCGACTTAGTAACGATTTGCAATTTTCAACTTGTGTCGCACGCAGCTCAAAATCTATTTTACCAAGGGTCATGAAACTTTACAGGAATGTTGATCAACATGTCAAGTTGTGCACCTGGGGTTCCTCTTGTGGATGTATCCAGTATTACTAGAGTTATTGCCCTTCACTTAGTAAAATCCTTTCCATTATGCTGTATTATTTGTAAATTGTGTGCTTGAGATATCAGCCAACACTACAAGAAATATGCTCAACACCACTGTGAAACTATGTGCCTGTGGTTTTGCATATAGATTTTTTAAAATTTTGTTAGAGTTACTCTTATTACCATTGACTTAGTATAAATTTGCAATATTCAACTTGTTCATGTATAGCTCAAAAAGTATTTGACCTGTAGGCCTGAAAAATTACAAGAATGTTATTCAGCATATCAACCTATTTACCTGTGGGTTTGCTTGTATATTTATTCATTAAGTGTAAAGTTCTTGCCCTTCACTCAGTAAAAGATGTTTAGTTTTCAACTTGTGGCACATGTTGCAAAACAAAATTGACCAAGAGTCATCAGATTGACGAAACAGTGGAATGTGTGGGCACCCGTGTCCTATGGACACATTTCTAGTTAAAATCTAAATAAGTGTGACAAAAATTAGGGTGCCGTTTTATCAACAAAGACGGTCGTAACTGCGATCTTATCTTACGACCGATACTTACGACCGAGCTTACGATTTCCCCATGACCGTTTTATAGACACGGTCGTACGCCCTCAGTCGCAGCTAAGACCATTTTCGGTCGTACGACCGTATAAACAGTAACCATACAGTCGAAAGTACGTTTCCGGGTCACGTGATTTCCCGGGCACCTGTCAATGTAAACACGACTGCATAAAGATGATAAACCACATGACCCCGAAATTCTATCTAAAACATAGAAATAACGATTTAAAAAAAATCCCATATATATACTCTATAAAAAACCTATGCATAAACTGAATACCGTGTATGCCTCGTCGAAGTTGCTTTAATAACGGCAAAGCATGGGGGAGGATCAAAATGGACATTTAAATACGTTTAAGGGCGTGAGGGATGTTGCACACACAGGCACGAGTATCGGACCTGGGAAGAAAAAATATGACCAGATTGATAAAAAAAAACTGTGTTCATCTTAAAAGTGTCAAAAAAAAATGTAAATAATGACCCACTTTGAAAATATACTATAAGTTAACGTCTTAACTTATAGTATATTTTCAAAGGGGGTCATTATTTACATTTTTTTTGGACACTTTTAAGATGAACACAGTTTTTTTTTTATCAATCTGGTCATATTTTTTCTTCCCAGGTCCGATACTCGTGCCTTTGGTTGCACGTATTCATTATCCCTCATGTACAGACTCAATCAAACCGAGTCTGCAATTTTTATGTAATTTTGTTGTGATTAATGCTTCCGAGGGGTTACTTTGTTTTCCAAATTAACTAAATAAAGTACAAAAAAACGATAAGTCTTTTTGTGTTAGAATGCGATTTCTTTTCTTGTAGAAGATTGTAAAAAATACATGGGAAAAACAGTATATTGATATTTATTAAATAAAAAAAACAGTAAATCATTCACGGATTTATATTAATCCGTGAGACAAATAGATACTTATTTGCGGATCAAAATATAGAGATGCATCAAAAGTAGGACATAAATCCGTCTACAAAACATGTTATAGACGATGTCAAATTTTTTTAAATCCCTTCTGCATGTTAGGCACATTATTTCTAATAGAAGCGGTAGCGTCATTCTGGTCATCCAGTGATACTATTAAATATCACCAATGACTATGTAAGTATATCCCTTACATCCCTGTATCTATAAGAATATTCTGAATAAAAGTCAAAGAACTGATAGTATACATCATTATGATCTGTCAACTGTAAAGTATCTTGTCCTAACTGTGTGAGTAAAGCAAAAGGCTTCCAAAGCATAGCTAGTGTTTTAAGATTTTTTTACTTTGAACAAAGCGTTGTTGATGACACCCATCAAGGTTCAACCTGTATGTGCGTTCATGACATTGAATAAGTTACAGGTAGCACAGCTTGAATACAAAATATATTTACAGGGCTCTGAGGTAAAATGCTAAACAACATCTGCAAACATTAGAAGAGTCTTTCTTAGCAGTTTCAGCTAAGATTAAGGAAAAGTTGAAAACAATATGGCTGGCTTATTTGTAAAAGTATTTACAGAACAGTAAGTGTTAGAATGTTACAAAGTCTTTTAGTATTATTCCAGTATGACAATGAATACATATTGCAAAGAAAATTATGACATTAAAATGACATGTTGCAATGTTTCTAATTCATATTAATTTTTAATAATACCTATTTAGAATTGATGTACATATCTGCTAGAAAACAATCTTGAAACTAGATAACAATATAAAAACAATATGTTTTAACAGACACAGGGTACTATTCAGACAAGAGCAGTTAAGACAAATAATAAATTTAGCACATTAAATATAAAATGTCACTTCCAGGGAATTCTGTAGAAAGTTTCACAGCTTTACATTAAGATTGTTTATTTTCATTATTGTCCCTTTTGTGTTATTTTCTTTGTGTTTTTAATATTCATCCCAACAATTTTTAATGCATTCAAGTAACAATAAATCAATAAATATCAATATAAACACATATGTTACATTGATTTATCTCATGTCATTTTACTTTCAGATGAATTGTAACACATAAATCTTTGTTTTTGTAAAGTCACTTTAATCAAATTGAATACAGAGAAGAACATCATTTTGCTGTGTATTCCTTTCAAGTTTTGAACATGAATCAAACATTTCATAATGTTATTCAAGAGAATGATTCAGTAAAGTTATCACTTCAAGAAATATAAATATTTGATTTTGACATACATTAATAGCTATAGTTTTGACACTTAAGACAAGTGAATATACAGTCAGTACAAACATGTACCATCCAAGGTATACACTCAGAAACAACTTAAAGACCTTAACCTATGTATATGTTTTCATTAATCATTAATAAAAAAGCATTCACATAAAGCTTCTTACATGCATTCAGGGTAATAATTGTAGATCACTGACTATCCCTTTGTGACCATACTCAAGTGTTATTTTTATTCATGTGCATGTAGAAACAAAGTTATTATGGAATGTATTAAATTATACATAATGTACTTTATTCAATATAAATTGATGAAATGTTTAATAGTCTATATAACTTTCTTCATAACTATCTTTAGGACTTTTTATGTCCTTTGTTGGCCATATAACAAGGTCACAACACTTGGCCCCCTTAAGGGAGAGCTGTCCCTGGATATTGATTCCAACCATAGGATTGTTTAGCTGTAAACCTTCCATAATTCAGCAGTAGTCTGAAACATTACAGAGAATAATCTGACTTAAAATCAAATAATAAACATTGTAATTTGATACAATAATTTTTTTACAAACTATCTCATATGAAATGTCAAGAACAGATAAATATGAAAATGTATAATTCAAATGAAATCCTTATAACTAAATGTTAATAGTTTTTATTCAATAATTCTGTATGTCTTTGTAATAATATTTGTCAGTCACAGCCATTGAGCTTTTAAATAGGTTCTTACTGTTGAATTTTTTTGATATTCCTCTATAACTGTCAGTTTTCTGACAGTGTAAGGTAATTTTACTTTTATAATACTGTTTCTAAAATAAGTTTGTCACTACTGACCCTGGTGATATACAGCCTCATCATTGTTAATGTCCTCTTTTACAAACACATTGATCAGCAGATGCACCAAGTACTAACTATTCATGCTGCCTTATATCTGTAAGGAAAATCAGATAAAAATTCAGCTACAATTTCATAGACTCTATATAGCATGTGCATGTATAAAAGAAAATCAAGTGATACCTGAAAAGAAGCCTACTAGGATAATATCTACATAAACTTTAACAAACCTATGAGTAAATATGATAATGATTTCCACAAATCTAACATTACTACAATATATTACAATAGTATTTGTTTAAATGTGGAAACAAGACACTTAACATCTGAAGACACTTCACATCCCAAAATCATTAAGACACTTCACCCATCATCCCTGATTATTTCTAGAATAAATATTTCATCAACAAATAAACCTTTTGTTTGTTAATTTTCTTTTTTTAGTATTTTTTTATAAAATGTTTAACTCAAGGCAATTTTCAATATTTTTAACACTGACAAGTTAACTTGCAACATGGAACTTTGATATATTACATCATTTTCTGAAACATTACATGAAAGACAATTTTTAAGTATCAATGTGACATAAAAATAAAGAAAAATCTGCTATATAATTGTTGATAAAAAATATTATGTGTGATTTTCAACATAACTATCAATGTACTGTCAAACTGGGACATACATGTATTTCCCAGTATCAATGTTAGAACAAATGAGGGGTGAAAGAGATATCTCATACATGTATCTAAGATAGTAGGTCACCCACTTTAAATGACTAATACAAAATAAGTTATTTTAAATAGTCAAACTTATTTTGAAGTTTTAATGTGATAATTATATTTTAGAAAAAAATATAAAGTACTTAACTGATTATCATTAATACCATATAAATATATTAGGGGAAAAGTAATATCTCTACAATATTTTGATTTGGTCCATACTTATTATATAACAAGAAATGTGTTAAAATATTGAATATTTTAATCACCATAATTGATTGCATTTCACATGTTCCACCTTAATTTGTGTAAAGCACATAACAACACATAACCAAAAAGGGAGGTGTAGTGCTTTAATCAGATTTCATAGAAAGGGGGGTGAAGTGAACTCTAAAACTGTCTATTTCAAACTCACCTGTCTGCACAAGTTACTTGTCCTTTGTTGACAATCCTCTTTTCATGTGATACACCAAATTGGATCTAAAGATGCTCAATTCGCATTCATGTACATGCTTTACCAAACAAAAGTGCTCCAGTTTCATTTGCATTCCCATTACAGCACTGTACTGTAGGAACCTTAACAAAATGTTGCCATGTTGATTTCACATTATTAGCACATGTCTTTCACCTAGATACTGTAGCAACTTCATTGTAAGGTCTACAAAAGAACATACTTAACTAATTATAACAATCAAATTGGTTTAATAGCTTGAAAATTAACACAATTGTTATTGACAATTGTTAGATCTATGTTCTGTCCGAAATCTGCACTGTCCGAAATTTCTGTACTGAAATATTTCGAAAAGAAAAGTAGGAAACGGTAAAGATAATTGTAAGAATCATTTGCTTATCTGGCTACAGATGTGACAGGAGTTATATTAAACACACATATATACATTGGTTGTACTAAAATGAAAGTAATATAACTAACCATAGCTATCCGTGGTTAGTTGAAAACTTCAATTGTTCAAATATTTGTGTTTGAAAGTTCCTAGTGGGAATTATGCAAAAATGGCCGCCATTTTTAAGATCTTAAGCCTACTTACGACTGGTCTGAAGCAGCCTTAAAGTTACGACGTAAATCTACGACGTCTTAGCTACGACCATGTTGATAAAACGCGACGTAGCCGTAAGATCGGTCGTACGACCAAATTTTAGCTACGACCGGGCGTGTACACGACCGTTGATAAAACGACACCCAGAATCGTAAGGGACAAGAATATGTACATCAGAATCAGGTCAATAACTACTAGTGATATTTATGCAGAAACAGGTTAGATATCAAATAATCAAAATATATTTCAGATGGTAGCAAACTAAAATGTTTAACAAGAGATCAAGGTAGTTTTTATATTTTAAACTTCATACAATTGGTAAGATCAAAAAAAATAAATGATTCCATAAAATGATTAGGTTTCTTGCTTATATTACACAATAGCATGAAGGTAGAATATATTTATTTCCTGCAAATTAAAAAAACGTGAAATAAATTTGAAGAGATCACCTCGTAGAACATGTGCATTCAGTTGTTTTGTACAGCTGAGAATGACAGTTGATAAAACGACACCCAGAATCGTAAGGGACAAGAATATGTACATCAGAATCAGGTCAATAACTACTAGTGATATTTATGCAGAAACAGGTTAGATATCAAATAGACAGTTAGATAGTTAAAGTCAAAGTACATTTAATCGTTCTATTAATTCTACAAGCAAACCACTTTGGAGTATCCTTGTTTGATTTATGTCTAGCTGTTTCGGTCGAAACACAAGCCTAAATATCAAAATGGCTGCAAAATTCAAAATGGCCACCAAGCTGGCCGCCGAAATCCGGTAATTTGAGATGGATTTAGCTCAATACAGGATTGGAGCAGTACCTCTAGACGCTTGCAGAAATCATGATCACAAAATAGACAAATATCGTTTTTTTCGCCGATTTTTACATTTTTCCTTGATTATCGTACTTGATTCGGTGTGAAAAGATGAATTAGACCTGTTAAAGTTCATTCCGTTGGGTAAAAAGACAAGATTTTATCATTTTATCATTCAAGCGCCTTGTCCGGTATATACCGGAATACGGTATTTAGTGTGGTGCTCCAATTCTTTTTTTAGTCACAGCCATTTGAGATACCCTTCCGACAATTTACAATAAAAATTTGCAAAATTATGCATAATATTTGGCATAATATATCGTGGTTAATATGGCCGCCAGTATAGGATTTTTATGGTTTTGCATTAATTTTAATGACTCATACTTCACGCTTTTTCAGATATTTCGGACTTCACCTTATAACTCTAAATAAAATCAAGTTTAAACATTTAATTTTAATAACTTATTATCAATATAATAGCAATATTTTATACGGTGACCACTGAAAACTTATTTAAAATGTGATAATCTAATGATATATTTCTACTTTAAACGCAAATTTAATGACAATTTTCTACTGTTAACGCCAGGTTCTCAGTTTAAAAGGTATATTTAACAGAATACAATGTAACATTTAATGGTCACTGGGTAGTATTTTACACAATGAAATTTTGAAGCTTGTAACGACAGCCGTTTGATTTGCATAACGCTGTGCATGGAAGATCAGCTTTAGCACATTTACTTCCTCCGTAGCCATTTTCCTAATTACAGATATATTTTAGCAGTTTCCTACATGATTTTTCTGCTAGCAACAAATTTGTCCACAGAAGCTGTCACAGAAATATTGGCTTTTTTGTTTTGACCAAGATTTGTAACCAGTTTATGTAGGCTGGTATCGAAATCAAAGGGTTCTGTGGTGCCAAATTCAACGACTGATCAAATTCACAGGGTTTCAAAAATTAAAAGAAATTCAAGTTGATTGCCTCCAGATAAGCTTAAATATTTTTCAAGAAATCAACTTCAAAAAAAGTATTTTAACGATTTAAGAAAGGTTAAACTATTCACAATTTCAGCAATAAATTAAATGTTTTATGCAATTAATACATGATTTTACAGTATTTTTCAACGTATTTGTAAGTGCTATATTTGCATATTTTAACATACTTAATAATTTTTAAGTATTGTTGAAGTATACTTTTCTTTCTTTGTACACTTGACAACATTTTACTTTTTAATACATTTTTAACATTTTCCTGAAAATTAGCATGAATTTGGAGGCATGCAGCTTATAAGCTGACTTAAGTGTAAAGCTGGATAATGACACTTTATTAATTAATGATGGTGTTTTGGGTTTAATTTCACATTAACACACAACTGGCCATACCGTGCCGAATACTACATGAAAAGTAATCTATTTGTTCATATAAGATTATTAAATCTGAAAAAGGGTAATAAGGGAGTTAATAACTTTAATAATACAGGTTTATATCCCTTAAGTAGTCGATCAATGTTAAGGAAGGAAATGGGTCAAAAAGTTGTGAGAGTGAATTTAATCGGTAATATCTATGGTGAACCTGTGCAAGATAATAGCATTCAGCATAATGGCCTGATAAAAGATGAGAATGTGTAACTCTATTGTGTCATGTTGAACATCTCAGAAGATTAAGCTCCCATTCAAAGATGATATAAGTGTATTTATTGAAGGTTAAAAATCACAATTTTAGTAACAGTAAAATTTGAGTTTTTAAGGTTTCTTTAGACAAAACTTTTCATTTCTTTGTACTCCTTCGTGGCCTGGAATCCAATTATAATTTTACTGCCTTGGTTTTAAATATATCATGAAATCACAATAAAAGCTTCTTTATCATAGTTTTATCAAATTTTCTATTTTTGATTGAAATTAAAAAGCACGGAGTGTGAATCTGAAAAGTTACAAATTATTATGCTGTAAAATGTTTAACAAGGCTTAATCAAAAGCTTTTGTTTCAGCAGTTAATATAGATACATTATCAGATAGTCTCATTCACGATGTAAAATGATTTTTAAAGACTGCACCTTCTTTGTAACAATATTTGGAATCGTCTCTGTCAATATAAATATAATCTAGATGTTCTTTGAAGTTTGAATAACATCAGGAGAAATAGATGACTTTTTTAAGTTTGATAGACTAATTTGAACTTCTGGGGAATTTAAGTCCACAGAGAAACATCTACAACATTTTGAAGAATATACTTTGGGTCTACTTTAAGTTTTTCTAAACTATCTTAAAAACGAAGAGGCTAGCTTTCTTTTGTTTGTTTGAAATATTGTTGCTGTAATCTGGTTTAAGTATAACTTTCCAGCAGGACTTTTACTAGTTGATGTTACCCTAGCTGCATATTGCAAAGAAAGCTTTTCATCAAAAGCTGAACCAATCTTATTTTAAAGTTTCTATCGACAAGAAAGGTAGAAATAAAGATTGGAATTCTACTAATAAATACTGCATCCTTTATATCTTAAAGACTATCATGTTTCCATACTGTACCATAAGGTTTTACAATATCAAATTAAATTGAAGCCGAGTGCTGTTTATTTATTAAAGATATTATTATAAAAAATCGGGATAAACATGATGATTGTTTGTACTTTGCTGTTCATTACAAAATAGTTCTTTAACTTCTAAATGCCATACCAGGGGATTATTTACCATTCTTTCAAATGTTTTGCATAAGTGAAGTTGGACGGTAATTTGCAGGGTCAGTGCTATCCCTTTCAGGTTAAGGAATTGGGATAATCACAGCTTCTTTCGAACTTTTAGGAAACTCACCAGATAACGATATATCGTTAAATATGTCAAGAAGCATGTAGGGCACAAATGGTAGTAATTCAAGAGATTGATGTGGAAGGAGTTTAAGAAATCATAAGAAATGTCAACTGGACCTGCTGCTGTATCTTTTGCTCTCTTGATCGATTCAACTACATCTTTTATAGAAAAGAGAGTATTGTGAATTTTGTCATTTGCTGAAGTAAAATGAAATTAACTTTTAATTAATTTCACTGTTTAAGCAACTATGTTATAAAAGATCATCAATAAAACGCCTTTAATTACAGGGACAGCATAACTACCACTTAAATGTACAGATAGTGAGCACTAAGATAGAAAAGCAAAAATTTATAATGGTACAGGTTGTAAAATATGTAATGTGTCTGTGCTAGGGGCATGGACGGTAGCTTGCAAATGCAATCAAACAGAGCCTGCAACATTTTGAAGTTTGTCATATTAGGGTTTCTGATTCAGCTTTCGCTAGTTAACATGATCAATATATTTTGGAAAATCAACCAAACCTTCACGAGAAATACATTTAAGTCTCAACAGCACAAACTATGGTGTACTCATTCTTTAAATGGTTTCATTTCAGTTTTCATTTATAACGTTGGCATAATTATTTCTGCCACCATTTGCGCTTTATTTTTGTGTTAATTATTTGCTTAACTCGTTATGTAACTAGTTTACTTTAATTATATGGATAACGGGCTAAGTTACATGGCAATAACTCCCTACTTTCTTAACTAACTTTTTGATATTTGTCTATGAATAATCTTCCTTACTATTTTGGGGAAAAAAGCTGTTGAAAGCAAATCTAACGTTACAACTAACGCCAAGTTATCGTCATTTGTGCAATGAATGAATAAAATTTGATGTATATCTCTTTCTGAGTATTTAATTGAA